CCACATGACGTTTGGCAGTCATACAGGAGTTGCCTGGTCCTTGTACATGTGGATTGGCTTTCGGGCTACGTCCTGGTCCAACTGTCCTGTTGTCTTCAGAATTCATGTATAAAGGTGCACTTACTGACTTCTTATACTGGCTAGGAAGTCTCGGGGCGCTACAGGCCAGTCCATGTGCATGACAGCTTTGCCAATGCCAATAAGACTTCTCTTAATATTTGCATGTCATCAGTAGTAGGCCTGACCACCCTGGAGACGCAAGATTAGCCCAGAGGACATTGTCGCTAATCCAGGTAGTTGAATATGCAAGGTACTACACGTCGAGCTTTGGGCCATCAAAAAATCCTTACAAAAACGTATGCATGTTTGGATTCTATTAGTATGACTTCCTTGGCTTTCGTAGCATACTTTTGGACCATGCTTGGGGCTCCGTTTTTGAGTGAGGAGAACCATGTGTTGGGGTTCCGAAACTTTGTGGTTGACTCAATTGGGTTGGAATATAGCAGCTGCTATCTCAGGTAGTTTATGTAGTTTTAAAGTCTTTTGAGAGAATACGTGACATTGCCTTTCTTCTAAGGGTAGATTTTGGATGTAGAGAGTAAAGTGGTTAGGAGGTATAGTCGCGAAGTCTTGTCTTGATATCTTTAGGTATAAACCTATTTGCTCATTTTGAGTCATTACTTCTATACGGAATGTGACTATATCCGGATTAATCTTTCCCCAAAGCCATTTCCATACGGGAAAAAATGTAAATACATTAGGTTTCCTCGTAGCACTAACTACGTTGACTAACGAGATTACCGAGTACGACGCCAAAAGATAAGAGGAGGTGGAAGGATTCGGCCTTTTATTATGTCCATAGTTTTTGTTTTGCATAAGTCTATGGCTCTATAACTATACTTCCATTAGGCGATATTCCATTCGAGCAGTGCACCCCACTTGCAGTGCATGCGCCTCTAGGAAAGTCGCATGCAACCGTTTGAAAACCTTTCTTTACAAAAAATGATGAGTTCTCATAGCCGAAGGTACAAAACTGTCTGTAAAAAGGCATCTACTTTTGAGTAACTTCGTTATAAAATGTCGAGGAACATGCAGTTTTGCATCTCTTTTCAAAATGGCTTAGGGACGCTTAAGTCTCTGCTCTGGACTCTCAGAATTTCTTTTTAACTTTGGCTATCAAGAGTGCCAAAATGACCCGACTGCCGTGTCACAGAATGGGAATAAAAGCTATAGTGATTGAAGCGCTCTCCACTGCGATCTTATGCCGCATTAGTCCGTGCCAATGCTATATTGTGTGTAGATAGGTCATTAAAAAATTCGTTTTCGGTGAAATGGATACTGCACCTCGCCAGCGTGGATGCGTACTGCACAATTTGGTTTCACGCAGTCACTCACTAAGTCACGAGACTCTAAGGTCGTGAACTTTAAAAGGCATTCTCTTGGCTTTAGTTTTGGACTTAAGTGGTACTAGGCTGACTACTGACTAAGTCAACGAAGTTCATTCATTACACATCAAAAATGAAGTCTAGTGGAATACCATTTTCTCCATTCTGAATAGCCAAGCACAACTTGTAGGCATAAAGAAGTACCGTTAAATCATCCTGTTGGCTGAAGTAGAAAGGGACCATAGGAGTTGACAGCACGGCTCTAATTCACGCTCTACCTTGCATTTTCCCTCTAGATCTTGTAAAAGTGTGTACTGTACTAGATTTCATTTTAACTCTTACCGCTGTCATAGGTCTGCGTATGAGGTAAACATGACGTGTATGCCTACTGCAATATGCTGGTTGTTCATTCAACCTTCAGCGTTGGCAAACTGGTCATTGTATGATTGGTGAAAGGACTGACTTTCAGGACATGGCAGTAGTCCCGTGACCTGACGTGCGTAGGCGATGCATGTTCTGTCCGATCGTTGCTTCTTTTCCTCCTAAGAATTGAAGTTATGCACTGCATCTACTGTCAGTTTAATCAGTCAGTTGCCGATCTGGTCAGCAAATCTTGCATTTCAAGTGTTAGTTAGCAGAATTGCTACACAGCCTTTTCAGTAATGAAAAGATTTTAAACGAGAATTGGTCGTGATATTTTTACAATGTCTACACGTACCACCGTCGACTAATGTTCTATTTTACTAAATTTATAAAGTTGCACCGAAAGGCTTTTAGACAATGGATGGGTGGCATACTACTTGGATAGAATACGTAGAAATAAGATAGCGACGTTAACTTGAAGCTATTGAAGGCTGTAGAAACACAACTACCAAGCTTCTAGTTGTCCTGCCGTCAAGTGAGAGACAAACCAGTAATTTAAGCATTTCAACTGCAATTTCCGATGCTTCCGATAGCTTCTCCTTTCACTGCCCCAAACCTTGTCCTCCCAGTCATTGCCAATCAGCATAATAACACTTTGCTACGTCAGCAACTTTTATCTGAAGATTCCGCTCCCAACATTCTATTGAATAGCAATAGCAATACGCCCTTCCTGCGGAAAATGATGAATTTTGACACAAAACTATCTGATCTTGTCAAAATGGAAGTTTTCAAACTAGTCGAAATTAATGACAAAGTGCTCCTTTTCTCCTTTCGTGAAGACCACGCTGCACATACATTCACACACCCCTACTCGTACCTGCTATTTAAGATCTTGCTGGCTCCAATGCTGCCGTCAACATTTGGAAAACAAGATTTGATCCCGCCGAAAAATTTGCTGAGATGTAGTCCTGACAGAAGCGAGGGGATAACTCTTTCTGAAATGGAAAAATCTTTCTAATCATGCGCTGGCTTTGAAGGCAACGTGCCGGAAGTGCGTCCACCAATACACCTTAAAATGCTTCAATTTAGGCTTTTGGCTTGATTGGTCAGTCCTGAATGATGCATTATTCCGAAGTTTAAAGTAGACTAAGGCGTAAACTCATCGTGAAACGGTCCTCAATCCCACAATTGCTTGAACTCACATATCCTTGGAATGTGGGCAGACCAATCAACCGCCTACAACACACCCCTAGAAACGAATTCTCGCTAGCTCAAAACAATGTGACACAAAGGAGGTATTTAGCACAGCGCGGGAGCGGTGATTCCCCATGCGGACTATGCTTCCAAAGAATCGCCACCGTTAAGGCTAGTTTCCGCCACTTGAGAACGCACATCTGTCAAGAACAGCCTATAATTGCCAAATAATGAGCATACTTAAACACCGAAACAAATTTTTCAATATGAAAATTCGTCGGAAACGTAATTACAACCAGTAAATCTCGTAAGATTCCAGCACATTGGCAACACATTACTTCACCCAAATCACTTTACCAAGTGAAAACCTGAAATTAGTACCAAAATCAAAAATTATATTTACTAGAAATACGTCGTACCAAACATCCTGCTACTAGTGAGCAAAAACAAATCATCTGACTACGTAGCCTGAAACCGCATATGGCTTTATTTGAGAAATAGAATATCAAAATAGAACTGTACACCTAGATGGACTAAAAATGGTTTTAGCAAACTTCAACAATCTCATCTGGTTCTTCATCAGTGCTAGGATACTTCCGTAATTTATCCCTTTTCCTTCGCTTAGTTCTAGAATCACTTCCAGAACCAGACTCCAGTTCACGTTCGTGCCTGTGTTTCTTCTTCCTCTTCCTTCTGTCACGCTTCGACCTGGAGCTTTCGCCGTCGTCTTCCTCAAGAACTACGGGAGAAACCCCGTCCAGATCATCATAGATTCCTTCACCCACACCCATCGCACCGCCACCACCACCACCAGCAGCAGCAGCAGCAGCAGCAGCTTTTTGAGCCCGGGCAGCCCGTTTTGCTCTGTAGAGAGGAGGGAGAGGGGAAAAAACAGAAGTCATAACCCAGGATACTCAAAGCATTCATGTCTGTACGTCCCGATTCACATCAACTACTTTGAACTAGCAATAAGGCAACATAAGGAATCAGTGGATACTAATGGGGCAATCAAATTTTATGGAATGATTTCTCAGCCTCCAAAGCACGTAACGAATCAGCGCATCAGAAATGAAAAAAAAATTACAATTTCTTCTCCTTTTTGGCCCTCCTTCTTTGTTCCTTACGCAGCTTCCTTAACGTTTTGGCATCCAAATCATCGGCATTATCAGGTGGCGTTGAGACGATATCAGGCACATCCGATTCTTCTTTCGAAAATGACCGCCTTCGGGAATGCTCTGAATCTTCACAACGATATCGACGATCCTGATGACGAAAAGTTCCCTCAAGATTCGGAGAGTTCTCCTCCAAAGTCTTCCGAATGGGACTTCCAACGTAAAAGGGACTGTTTGAGAAAAATGCGCATCCAATCACTACTAAGCACTCTACTCCAATCGCTAAGCAGATCATAACCAAACAAAACACAACGTGGTTTTAGGGTCATTCATAGCAAAATTACCACCTAGCCACAAAAGACTATACTGAGAAATCAGCAGGAAATTGAAGGAGCACATGTCGTAGATTCCTCAGTTCTATACCTTCGCAAACGAGATTTGTCCACTTCTTCCGGATACCGTCGATTGCGATCGCTAGAATACTCATGAGGTGATGCTTCTCGCCTGGTATTCGGTAAAGGTGAGCCGCCAGGAGAAGCACTTCTACGAAGTCCACGAAGTGGTGACACACGTCGGCCTCCCGCAGCCTCCATCTGCAGACGACGCTCTTTTCTGCGCTTCCATGTATCGTAGTCTTCCACAGCCCCACCATCACCTCTGGTGGGACGGTGATCAGAGCCGCTGCTACGAGAGCGACGGCGCCTTGGAGGTGACCGCTTCCTCAACCGCCGCTCATCCTCACGCCTATGGTAATAGTAGTCAGCGGCTGCACGTCTGCGACTGCCACACCTGCGGCGTGAGTGTGGGGAGTCTCGGCTACGTGGACGCCTAGCCACAAAAAAATCGTAAAATAATCATCCATCATGTCGCAAAACACAGTAAGAACAGCGGAAAAGGCCTAGAAAAAGCAAAATCGAATAGCCAAATGCCTTAGATCATAGGAGATAGTTTCAACTTCAGTGAGACGACGTTGGATCGCTATTACTAGCTCGACCTTACCACAAAAGTGAAAAGAGCACAAAGATCACTTCCAGGTTCTACAACGGACTACATGCCAAATACTAAAATCCCAATGTTCCGAAAATGAGGCCCTTGCATTACTTCCTACCCCATATAGTTTTCCAGAAAAGTTTTGAAAGCAATGATGCTTAAGAAAAATCAATGGAACACCACTCCAACGATAAACACGTTACCTTCTGTGCGATTTTTCCAACAAGCGCCTCTTCATGCGGTAAAACTCCTCCTTGGAGAGGAGTTTGTCACCAACTGTGCCGTGCAAGCCCACGAGAGGACCGACTGAGGGGAAGACATTGCCAGCGCCGGAGAAGCCGCTCTGATCCACGCCGCCTAAGAGGGACAGATCCACCGACGGCCACACACCGCTGGATGGGATAAGGGAGTTGCTCGGAAAGACGGTATTTAGCGGGGCCTGAGCTGCACCTACTGCTGTCAGGGAGGCTGCAAGATTTGCACTATACACAGGGTTTGCGAGAGACGCAACCTCGCCAGGGAGAACTAACGGTGCACCATTATACAGTGATGTAACATTTGATAGAGTTGGTAACACAGAAGCAACGTTTTCTGCACCAAAGGAATTTGCACAAGGCAGGCTGGCTACGCTACTTGTATTAGAAACAACAGGAGGGGTGTGAGATTCAATAGGGGTACTTTTGACATGGGTAAGAGGCGATTCAGATTTAGATGGGAATGACAAAGTTTTGGAGTCTGAAAGCTCTGATGTAGAAAGTCCCAGCTTAACAGTATCAGCGTTCTCCTTCTTCACATCAGTTAACTCCAAATTTGTTTCCTTTGGTTCGCCACAAACTTCTTGGTTTATAGATCCACTTTCCGCATTTCCAGATCCAACCAACGCCGGTTGCTTCGGTTTAAGAAGCCGACGAACCACCTGTTAAACAATTAATGAGGGAACTACAACAAACCTTTTCGGGCTCTGGTGTGCCCTTCGTCTGTATAACCTCGGGAGAAACCCGTTGATTTGACGCTTCCGGAGAATTGCCTGCCCTCAGCCAGTCCGTTACAGCTCGCCTCATCGCAGCGTTTTCAATTATCGCACTATCGTATTTCTCTGCCGGCGCACCACAATTCGGACACTTTCGCGAACCCGCAACAAAGCAATGGTTCGTAATGCATTCATTACAATATGAAGTTCCACAACAAGTTATTATCACCGCATCTTTGAGCAGTTTTTTGCACAGTGGACAAACCAGGCCAGCGGAGGGAGTACGCTCCTGAGGTGGAACATAAGGAGGATTCTCCTCAGTGGAAAATGCACGTTTCTCCTTCTTCTTTTGAGAGTAAGCCTCACTATAAGTTAAAACTAATCAAAAAAGTGACTTACGCATCCTTTATAGGGACCATATAGCGTCCACACTTATCGAGATACGCACCCGGCGTGCCCGGATCGACTCGCACAAGAAAATCCTGAGGAATGCCAGTCGGCCTCTTAACCGTCTTGGAATCAACCAGGTTCCCACGAACATCCTTAATGCCAGGACAGTCATGAATCCAATGTCCTCCTTGGTTACACTTATGGCAAATGTAGGTTGGAGGGGGAACGCCGAAAGCTTTGGCCTTTACAGTGTAACTAAGACTATAAACTGAGAGACCGACCTCACTTTTTTGAGGAATAGGACTCTGAAGATCTGTCAATCATGAGTCGAATTTTCTCTTCTTCTGGTAAATCAGAATCGGCCAAACTCGTAACCTAACAATAAAGTCCAGGCAAAAGAACCTACAGTAGCAGCGCTTGATTCCGTCTGACTGGCCTAAAAAGCAAAAGGACCACATAATTCACCGCTAGAGCAAAAGAAGGGCGTGAATATGACTCTCACAAATTTATCGCGAGAAACTGACGAGGGCACAGACTTCCTCTTTTGGGGCTCCCCATTCGGTTTCGGAACACGCCTGACAACTATACTAGTAAACTTTGGAATAAGTTCGGTATCCTTCGAGTACTCTGAACAGCAGTAATTTGCAAGACAACAGAACATACCTTTCCCAGTGCTGTCCTCTAACTTCAGGTCCAAATCTGCAGAACGAAGGCAACATTTATTCTTAATAGCATTCTTAAGCTCTTTAACAGAAATAGCGGACCCGTCAAACGGAATTGAATCGGTCTTCACGCTCGACTTAAACTTAAAATACACTTCCGAAGCCATCGGAGATTAAATCCGAAACTGACAGAGATTTAAACAACGTCAGCTAACGTTGCCAAATTGCGAGTAAGAGAAAAAGCATTTTTACTAAAATAATCTAAATTATGTAGACTTAAGAACGCATAAACATTAGGAAAAATTGTTATAACAGTGAAGACTATGTACAAGGCAGCGCTGAAAAAATATAATTATAGCAATGGAACAAATATAACAGATCTTGTACTTGATTTTGTACTGACTGTAGCGTCGTAAAACTTCTCACCAGATTAAAAAAGCAATTAGTAAAGTTAGATACAAATAATTCAAATACGACAAAGCAACTGGGACTGACCATATCCCGAATGCCAACCCACATGAACATGGACCCGACGAATCCTAAAGTGACCATCAAACGTCATGTGATAACAGAGTGAAAGCGTTACACTGCCCCTCTCTTCTTTTGAGTGACGTCCTCAGCGGTCACCTTGGTACACCTCCTGCGCCAGCCATAAAATATTTTCGATACTAAAAATGATACCCGCTAGTCATCCTCATCGATTAGCAGCTATCATTATACTAAGAAACTGTACTTTGTCCTCCTAGAAGCTTCAATTGTGTCTAAAGCCACGTTCCGCCCAACTACTTGGTTCGGAATAGCATACACCTGTTAACTTTCAATAGCTTTCAGGACTAGAAGGCAAAACTTTTCTAAGTCATGTATGTTATGTAAGAAACGAGATGAGCCACTGCTCCATATATGAGGAGAACCGTTGTGTCCTTTCCGACACCTAAACACGGATTTGGCATGGAGAATTTCGACACGAACCTTTTCCTAGTAGCTTACAGTGGTATCGCTTCACGGGTTAATCCATTGTCTGAGGACCACAGGAGAAAGGTGAAACAAAAAGCAGACGCCAGTGACAACTGTTTCATGGTGAATGATTCAGATTTTTTATCGTCACTGGGGTAAATGCTACTCCAGCACACTGTAGGTACATGCACCAAACGGTAAGTGTAAGAATAGAAGTCTTTGAAAAACATAGAGTTTGCTTTCTGCTGCCACCAATGTAGCCTCCTGGGACTTCCCACCGGGTGTAAGAAGGCATGGTCCGAGTATGGCCTGAAGGCCAGCCCAAGAGTACAAGGACCAAACAAATCCTAGTGACCTTCAAACGTCAGGTGGTAACATAAACAAAGCATTAAAATGCCTGATGCTCAATGCCCTAATGCAAGAACACTCTCAGTCAAGCGGACACAGAACCACGCTCGAAACACGGTCACCGCCTTATCCCTGTCCGAAATGCCCTCTGTTACGTGAAGGATGCCCTCTAAAGCCTCCTTAAGCAACTGTTACCAACTCATATTTTACTACACTAGGGGTTGATCGGAAGCCCCTGTAACTTCCTCTTAATTATTTAAGCAACATTATGCAAAGAATTTTTCTTACCAACATTTCAGGAAAGTTAATGGATCATCTGAATTTTTATAAATACTGTAGGAAAAAAGAGCAATGACTTGAATAGCATAAAATAGTATAGCATAGAATTGTTTGTTGCTTATGGAATTTGTGCATTTCATCAATGAATTGTCTTGTTCGGAGTGCGCATCCTGTACATATATTGAATGTACTCCCTTCATTCCTAGATTGCCGCTCTTGGAAATGTATCTTTTATTGTTCCTTTTTTAGATTCACATGACTTGCGACTTCTTTTGTTTACCCTAGCCAAGTTGGTATTTTACAAGTAAACGGAATTATGGTATTTTTTGTTAATCTGAATCGTTGAAATAGCTCACTTTTCTGGCGTTTGTGTGGCGCGCCGTCGCTGGTGCTTAGTAATCATGTTTGTATTTTTCGTTTTTCTTATGGGGTTGATTGATTTCGGAAAGGCATTTTTGGTTGTTGAGTGTTCTGACCTTCTTCCAGGCCAGTATACATGTAATGAGACAATTATAGATCAGAAAACACAGCAGCCGGTTGGTTGCGAAAAGTCTACCGGTTTAGCTGAAAGTATTCGCTGTTTTTTCTTAATGTATGTAGTCGTATGCTTTGTTGCACCGAACATTTCATGCAAAGGCATGAGGTATGAGGACGGAAGAGGTTATTTCTTTAGGAACACTACCTGTTTGTGGACGTATGTGGAAACCATGGACTTTTGCTAATTTTCTGATTTAGTAATGGCTATAGCTATGGGACGGCCTTAATATTGTCAATATTTGGAGGGATTTTCGGCCTCGACAGGTTCTATCTGGGATATATTGCATTGGGTGCCTTAAAAATGTGGTCCCTTGGAGGTCTGGGACTGTGGTACCTCATTGATGTTGTACTGTTAGTGAATGGCGTAAGTGTTTTGAACAGTTGTTAAACTTTCTGATTCCGCGTTAACGTCGTCTGAGTACATTGTTGTACGTATCCGTTGTCGTCCCGTTATCTTCGGTCTTGGCGGCTTCGTGTGAACTGCATGCCGTTTTTCTGTTTTAGAACTTTCATCCTGCTGACGGATCGAATTTAACACGTCCATATTTTAGTCCCGCTCTGATTTACTTGTCTGACGGCGTCTGAAACTGTATGTCGAGCGATAGGTCATCCGTCGAACCTATTGCAGACGTACGCGATAATCTCCATTTACGATTTCTTTCCTTTATTTCTGCATCCACTGGTTCTAACGCACTTGCTCTTCTTCACTTGTTTAATCTCGTGGAACCCCTTTCTTGTCATCTTGAGGTGTGGGCTCCTCTCTTGTTGAACAGTTCGTACGCGGAAGGAGCTGTTTGCTGTAGAGATTTAGTTACCCCAATTGGAGCTGTCGCAAAGGCCCGAGTTCGTGAATCGGACGTGGTAGCCATTGAAATTAGTCTGTCCGATTTTATAGTCCATTAATGAGTCAATCGGATTCTCCGAATTCCCATATCTCCTCTGCGGAATCTCCTCCTTGTAAACGGCGTCGAACTTCTGCCACATGCAGTCCCTCTCCCACGTCATCTGTTAATGCATATTCTCCGTCAAACACTCGAATTTTGCGTGTGCTTCGAAACGACATTCGGAACAAGGCGATCTACCTACATGCAAGGTTCAAGGATTCATTGGATCAGGATGCCATCGTAATATTACAGAAGTCACCCTTTCCAAATGAAGTTTCGGACCTCTGTGAAGCACGGGTTGGTGTGGCCTACGCTGAAGATAATCACGATCTCAGTGAAAATGTGACCAATTTTCCTCCTTGGAAGGTGAACGAGATCGTAAACAATGACATATACCACCGATTCACTATTCTGTCTGGGTTAGAACGAGCCAACTGCATAAACATGACAGTGATCCATCCAGCGGAGGCTCACCACTTCTCCAAGTACACGACCTCTAAACGATGCATGATTTCGGAATCGCCCGAGACCTATAAGAATGTTGTCCTCCCGCTTCTGGAATCAAATCCAAAGGACCTCGGCTGGGTGGACAATATTCTCAGTGGGACGGCTGAGGTGGACCGGGTTTTGCTCGAAGATAAAGACCCAAACTTCGGATTTTCTCTAGTGTTAGACTACCGTTGGGATGGTAGTAAGTTGTGTGAGCTTCATGCCTTGGCTCTTGCAAGAAACTCGGATTTGAAATGCCTCCGCGAATTGAGGGCCTGTCATTTACCAATGCTAAGAACTATGTTGATGGAGGGAAGGAAGCAACTTGTAGCCAAGTACAACGATGAGGAAAACGCGTTACGAGAGGAACAAATCATTGCCTACTTCCATTATCCACCCACTTTCTACCGTTTACATATGCACTTTGTACACATCGAGGGACCAGCAGATGGTGGCACGCAGGTAGGCAAGGCGATCTTGGCTGAAGACGTAATTGCTAACTTGGAAATGAGGAGCGAATACTACGCCGAGCGGATAATGCCCATCCTCCTTCACGAAAACCATACATTCCTGACTGCTATCCAAAAGTCCGAACAATTGTAAATCCCCTCCAGTACAAATGTACTAAGTCAACAAAAGTTTCCGCGTTTTCCAGCCTAACACACGGAACGGTAATGAATGTAGTAGCGGATTATCGCGCACCAAAAGGGGTCTGTACGGTTAGGTTGTAACAACGAAAATCGTATGCAAGCAGCAAGGATCAAAACTCATACAGAGTAGTACCACGAATTCTATTAGCGGCTTAGTAAAGGCGATGGGGTGGCCCCATGGTCGTCTTGATGTACAGCGCGCGGACGTTCTGCCAATTCTTCTTAAGAAGGGAAACAAGGAAGTTAATCGCAAGAGTAATGTTTTGCTGCAATTGTTCCTTTGTCATTCCCACATTACCAACCGCAACACCAAGACAGAGAACCTTCTTCATTTGGAACTTAATGGTAGCTCGAGTGTCCTCAACCTTCAGTAGGAGGGGTTCCTGGTGCGAAACGGCAGTAGGAAATTTACCCGCCTTGTTAAGACCGGGACCCAAAATCCTCGGTATTTGTCGTATAACGCTCTCACTGGCGAGAAAAGCCTGATACTTCTTACCTAAATTACCAAATAAGTGCATGGAACCAAACATACTAAGCTTTTTAACGAGCTTTTTGTCCTTATTTAGCTTCTTCAGCTCGTCGACATCCATGCAGGGAATATTATTAGCCTTGGCCTCGTCACAATGCTGCTGATCGCCCAAAACACACACAGAAAACTTCGGCCGCGGTGTGTGCTTAAGCCTACACAGGAGAAATTAGTGGTGGCCTGCCCATATTTTAAAGACCCTGGGTGGAGGTCCATCAGGTTCAAACTGACTACCACCGTGCGGCGGTACTCACCTAATGGTGCCTGCAAAACGACGATCTCGCTGAGGATCATAGTTTTTCAGAGCTACTTGAAGCTCAACAGTCTCCAGAAACTTCCTACGACGGATTTTCAGACTATACCGCAGCATGTCCTCAATCTCCTTAGCCATAACGTCTTTAGGAATTTTGCTCCTGAAAGAAGAGGTCAAACGGACAAGTAGAGTGCAGCAAGAGATCAGAACTTCTTAGAGCAATGCGTTCACGAGTCACTCATGGCAGTATTTCATCAAAAGCAGACTCACGTCATCTCGCCGAACAGGACCAAAATTAATGCTAAAGGCGGATTTAAACAACATTGACGAAACAAATACTCCAAGTCTGGTATTGCGGCTTCAAGCAAAAAAGAATTGATCAACAAATAATTATATACGCTATTAACTTTTCATTCGCTATTTTGCTTGAGCGCATTTGTACTTTAAAATTGCATTAGCACCAATTTTATATCGAAGGAAATCTACAGCTAATAAATTAGTTACGTTTGTTTAATAAGTTACTAAAACTGCAGCGTAAAAATTAATCGTTTATTTTTTTAAGTTTGTAATATTATGGTTTTATTTATGTACTATTTAGATATAAATAAAAGTATTGCATTGTTGATGCATAATCTAAGGGTATGAGCATGAATCTTAGAGTCGATGTATGTTTCACTGTATGGGCACTACGGCGCTCTTTTCGATGTACAGCGGTGCTTTTGCACTGGATCTTTCGGGGCTGCATCTTTTGCATTTACATTGCTCCTAATCCAACTAAAGGTGAATATTTCTCGCTTTTGTGTTTGAAAATGTGTGCAGAAGCGAATTTGTGGTTATGTTAGCCATAGTTCTAGGTATATCGTGCGTGTCCTTTTTGTCATTTCTGTGCAGTATTTGAGCACTTCGGCTAAAAGTGTGCCAACTTCCCTGCATTTAAGAAGTAGAATGCGTGCGTCACTGTAATATTAAACATTTTTTGGAACCTTCAACTCCTCTAGATTTTGTTGGACGTCGCACCTTAAGACGACACTATTTCTTTTAAGTCTGACCGTTAAATTTCATTTCCTGAGTTATTTGAGTCGGGATTGCAAATGATATTAAATTGAAGATATGTTCTTACTCTCATCTTTCTGAATTAAGTTAGAAAGGAATGACGACTGTCAAGGAAACTGACGTTGTCATTGCTAAGTTCGATTACAAAGCAACTGATACCCAAGAACTTGACATACAGAAGGGGGAGAAGTTGACTCTCATGGATGATACTCAACATTGGTGGAAGGTCATGAACTCCTTTGGCCAAGTCGGCTACGTTCCAAGTAACTACGTCAAGCGATCCAAACAGGTTTGTCATTTCTTCTTGCATCCTCAGAACCTTTTGTAAATATCATTTTAATCTGATGCAAGCAATTGGTTTCTGTCGGTCAGTGCTTCTGGCTACCTATCTACATTCCTTACCATTACATCAGGGTCTGTTTTCGAGTTTGCGAAACACTCTTGGTCGACGAAAGAGTAGGACCGACCTTCCACCTCCAGCAACAGGTGCATCGACTGGCGGTCGGCCACCTCTAGCGCAGGCCACATCCACTCGTAACGGTGAAGTTTCGAGCTCAGGCGGAAAGGTTGCAAAGGTTAGTGCAGAATCTCTTGACTATGTGGCGCCTTCACTTCCGTCCTCCGGTTCCGGGCAGTCGCCTGCTAAGGACAGCGCAATCATCGGGTACCAACCTGTCGCCGGCCAATTCTCTTCCAACGGCATCATGGACTCGCGATCATCCTTCCTGTCTTCTAATCAACAGCTGCCACCTGTAATTTGGAACTGCAATTTATTTTTGTAACATGAACCTGAGCGTTCTTGGAAAATTCATTACCCACGAAACCACTTCGTTTGCGTAATAACTGCACAAGTTGTTTTCTAGTTACTAGACTATGGGGATTATGTTTTAACATGTTTTGTGGTTGCTACGCATTGCTTCGGTGTGTTTGCCCGTCGTCTTGTTATTCTTCACAGATTATTGTATTCTGGTTGATTCGCAAGCTTTGCACTTCTTTGGGCTCCGTGATGGCCTTCAATACTGTTGTCGCCTTTTGCAAGTATTTTAACCTCTTTGTGTCTGTATTTTTCAGCAGCTATTCATTTGAGCTTAAACGCCTGAACCTCAACGTCTTGAGTAGATGTGGTTCTCATTTCTAGCTTTTATTTCCTTTAATTCAGTTTTCCGTTTCCTTGTTTTTTTTAAACTAATGAAGTCTTTTGTCAGGTTTTATCTCTTCATGCGTATTTCTTGTTTATTTCAATAAGTATTAGTTACGGTAGGTGCACTTTTGCAAAAAAGTCTTGAAAGAATATTGAGAACATGCGTATTCTTAAACAGGCACAATGGAAAGGATAAGGTAAGGATTTTTCGCGTTTTTAGCTGAGGCACTCACTCCCTTGTTGGAGGCGTTACCAGCATCTGCACCCAGCTGTTAAGCGGCTTATCTTGGCCTGCTTACGTGTACATGTTTTGAATAACTTTTCCCCACGTTGCGCACTCCTCACATGAGGCATCGGATGCCTTTCATTGTAGCCACTGCGGAACATACATGAACACGCATCAAGGCCGTCTTTTTAACCGCAATTTTCTAAGGATAAATCCCCTCCTTGGTGCGCCAGCTCCTGTTTTACCTGCATATTTTTCGATGAGGTGTTTGACGATCCCTTTATGCAAACGATCATGGGGATTAATTCCGCAGTTTTTCTTTATTGGGGTCACTTTAGCGAGCCTCAATTTTTACCTCAGCGGATGTTTACGCTCCTCCAAAATCCCTATTGTATTGTAGCACGCTTCAGCACATGCGAGATGTCTACCACGAAAATGTGGTATTGCTTTCTCTTATGCAAATCATTCGTTCAAGAGACCACAAAGCTATGTAGCTGTGTTCTATGCTTTCAAAATTACTCCATATGCAGTTAAGGTATCTTAGCAGTATCGTGGGGCAATAGGACAGAAATTCGTCCCCTTCTCTTATCCTTGGTCTTGGAACGCTTGACGTGGCACAAATTGGATGCTCTTTGAACATTGGAACAGCCTCTTTATTATTGATGATATCATCATTGTGGCCTGCTGTTGATCCATGATTTCAAGCTTTTAATCCATTGTCCTTTCTTGTTACTGATGTCCTATGTACTTATTTTCTTAGGACACATAGCTTGTTGGTGATGGTTAAGGTGCACTTAATTAAATCTAACCCATTTGATCAGCGGCAGTTTTCATTTCTCTGTTTAGTTATAGAGCTTTTTTATATTTGTGATTTAGGGTACATTGTAACTGTTCCCCTGAATTTTTCTGTTTGAGCTACATGAGCCGTTGCCTTTGTTCATCTAGACATGCACTTCACGAGTCAGCATCTTTCGCATGCTTAGTGCCTGAATACTAGGGTACATGCTCCGGTTGTTAGTGGATCATTATTATTTGCGTTTTTGAACAGGAATTGCAGTCCTCGGAAAAGCCATGCTGCCCACTGTACCTTATAGTAGTGAAATAATTCGTTGTAGAGCGTTCAGGATTGCATGGTAATCGGTGTTGGTGCCTTCGGTTAGATATTTGTGCTTGTAAATTTATTTTAACTGTTCTAGAGGTAATCGTGACTTTCCATAAGCTCAGCTGGTGCTTGTAAAAATGCATTCCCGTGTGCTATACCGGTTTTTGACTTTGACGATGGAAGTTATCCAATCGGGCCCCTTTGAGTTGAGTTTTTTTCTATCATACTTGCCACAACTGTGATTACTTGGATGTCAGCAACCGAAAATGGTTAATGTTCTGGTATTGGTACACAAGGCTCCCAGACACCATTTTTACTACGCATACTTGCGTGTAAACTATAAAACTTCAGAATTACACTCGACCGCTTTTGCTAAATTTGTCGTCGTGTCGTCCCATCCGTCCGTCAATTCGGCCCACCTAATGATTACTGTCGTTACCATCAGTCACTGCGGTGCTCGCTGCCTCGTGAGGGCGATTAGCAACAGCCTTATCAATTTTATCATTGCTAATTCGGCGCTTTGGTCTAGTTTATCAGACGTTGGTATTTCAGTTGGACCAAGTGGTAAGGTAAACGCATGTCCTGCCCACCATGATAGTATTCAATGCAGGAAATAGTTTCGTCACAACTTGCGCAAACGCTTCTCTTTTGATTTCAATCATTTATGTTAACACAAATATGGATTCATTTACTTTTGTTAGATCAACTGGGGTTGGATTTGGTGGTTTTAAGGGGGTGAGGAGTTCGAAGAAATCTAGCATTATTCTTTCGAACTCCCCGTCTTAGCTGGTACGCTTTTATTCTGCTCAGTTTGAGAATTCAAAATAAATCTTTGCTTTTCAGACATTGAAATATATAACACGGTGTCGAGTTGTCATAACAGCTACTATGTTTTTAGTTGTCGTTGTTACTGCATCTTTTCTCGTATAGGCTCATCCAGGCCTCAGGGATCAGTCACCACAAAAGCCGTTATCCGATGGCGTTCCATTGGAAGCTAAAAACGGTAATGTTGGATGGAGTACGATTAACTGCGGTGCTGGTGGTGCTTCACGGAATTCTGATGTAGCGCCGATGGCACGAGGAGGCGGACCTGTAGATACTCACAGCAGTGGTGGTAGCATTTCGTCGCGTCAAATCTGCGTGGCGCGTTTCGCCTACACCGCCAGTCAACCGGACGAGCTTACCATACAACGCGGAGATCGAGTTTGTGTGCTTGAAAAGAGCTCTGATGGTTGGTGGCATGGTGTGCTTCTCCCTCCAGGAGGTTCCACCACTTTGCCACCCTCTCAAAAGCAGCAGACTTCTGGCTGGTTTCCCTCCAATTACGTCACTATGGAATCTGCACCTATGAAGCCCTCCGTTCTCGGGTATGTCTGCTTAATTGTTTTGTGTTAAACCGTTGTCGCTGCATGAGGGCATTCATTAGATGACTTACTATTTGGGATTCTCATGGCCTTCGTTGCAATATTGCATTTAATCAACAATGCTAGCATTGTGATTTATTGGACTGCACGTCTTGTTGTCTCCGCTCGACAGGTGAATTTTCCTTATGGGGATTTAGAGCATTGTATCAAATTTTCAAAGATAGAGACTTATCACTAACAAATTTACTTCTTTTAAATTTTCTTCCCATTTTGCAAGCGTAGGCTTTGGTATAATGTTATTATTTCTTAAAAATGCCACTTTTGCCAACGTGTAACTTCTTACCGAGGGTCTTAATTTTTAGCTTTTCCTAGTTTATTTTCGCGTATCTTATCAATAGAGCCTGAAAGTTTTCTACTTTTCTAACTCTTTCAGTTGGACTTGGCCACTTGGTTAAGCACCATGCCTGAGTACCACTTTCAATCGCTTCCCGTCACCTTCCTACGCATACTTATCACACATACTAGTATTAATTGCTCTTAATTAGCCCTACGTTAAAAAAGTCACTGAGCAAATATTTGTTTACAAAACTGTAACGCAAGGCGTATTTTCACTTTATCGGGGTGTGTTCTTGAATCAAGTGCCGAGTGAGATCACATCGCATTGAACTGAGGTCCTGGCTGCTCTGGGTTAGTGTTGCAGACATTTTGCTTGTTTTATTATGAGTTATTTTCGCTATTCTTCCTTTGATGCCATAACAACGTCAAGGTGTCTTTTCTCTACATACTTTTTTTGAATTCCCAGAGGTACTTGCAATTTTCATATCGTCTGTCAACCTTTACCTTTTGATGAATGCACTAAGCTTTTCACCGTATAGATACGATCTCTCGAACGCATTCTGGAACGGGCTAAGCTTTGATAGTGAAAGAATGATCACTGCCGTCTTCACTAAGCAAATCAAATTTGATTTGAAAAAGTGGATGCCGAGTTTGTTTGAGGCGGACACCATCATTGAACCATTTTACTAATAGAAATCGCGTAGACGTCACACAATGAAGTTTTAGTTTCGTAGACAGCTCTTCGGGAAGCGTCAATAGTAGTGACTCCGGGAAGGGCTGGAATGATTGATCGTAGATTTGTATTTATGCCATGGCAATCTGCCGCACGCAGGTTTGGTATATGTTCTGTACCCTTCACTTTGAGAGGTGGTTGCCCATGATATCTCATTCATAAAAACCAATGTCACTTGATCATGGAGTGTAGGAAACTCGTTTTGTTCATAATTCTTCTCATTGCTAAAGTGGTCTGGTTCAGCGTCTTTACCTTCAATGCATCCAGTGATCAAGTTTTCCCCTCTCTTTTGCTTCTTGGTTTTGTCTGCGTGGTTATTTGTGAATTCAACCATATGCTGGACCGCTTTTCTACAACTCCTAATTTCTTAAAGAGCATTTACCCGCGAACATTTCATACGCTTTTTGAGACTTTCAAAGCACAATAGGGACTTAAACTCTCACTTTTAAGGATTTGAGTGAAGTCATTACGTGAGCACTTTGTTGGTTAATCTTGGTGCTTATTTTGGCGAGGCTTTAGTTAAAACATACCACCGTCATCTACTTTGCCGCTTCCACTGTTGGTTGTACTAATAATGGCAAACATCGTCTATCATTCAAGAGTTTGCGCGCACATGTGCGACATTGATTTGGTTTACTCGGATCGCAGCAGGCTTACATCTTTCTTCCACTGAGTGATTGGAGCGGCTGCTTTCAGGGGGAGGAACGCGCACCAATCGGACACTACCACTAGAAGGTCGGAGTAACGTGGACACTGTGATTTGCCGCTTGGACGTGTATAAACGTGCCATTATTGCCACTAATTAAGTGCAGTTTAAAACGAGTAGTGGTGTGGCACTTTTCCGCTGTGAAGTTACTGCAACTGTATCTACTTTTAACATGTCACATTCACAGTTCCGTTGTCGGGTGCTATGTATGCTTTACTATATTAATACCTTACAAAGTACAGCATTTGCTCTATTGAAAACGAGGCGGTCTTTAGATCTTCGTCCCCAATGCACTACGGATAACGTCAAATTAGTTAAGAGCTATAAAAAACCTCTCGGAAATGATGGTATTGCCTTAGAAGGGGTTGGATGCCTTAGCCAGAATTCCACATTCTACATTACTCCCATTTTAGCATCTGTACTAAGCATAAAATGTTAGTCACTTAGTATTGTTCTCTTTATCTTTTTAATTCTGGACCAAAAAATTAAACGGATCATAAACTATTGGATGCACCCTTGCAATCCCATGTCACAGGTCACTGTTCCAATCTGTCTGTAGCACAGTTTGTACGCGTCCGTGCTCCTTATAAACGTGCTCGCGATCCTCCAATTGGTAAAATTTGTCTTTCTATTCATGTCGATCCCCCATAACTCCATATGACCAGGGGGATTTGCGTCTTGTACCAATATATCCATCGCTGATGCAGGACAAGGAAGGAAGCGAACATCATGATTGTCTGCGCAATATCGGGCCTCTTTATCTGCTCCCAGCTTTGGCATTTAGAAGCCTAAGCCATCTGATTGCCAAATGGAGTGTGTTTACTGCGTGGGAGTAACTTTACTCTCAGTTATGGCCACTAGTGAGGCTCTTGCCCAAGCATTTCAGGATTCGAAATCCACCAGGAAGGACATGCCTTTTCCTTAGCGCACTTCTGATCCCTACTTCGTTCTCCTCCTCTTCCACTCACTTCCAATCCACCTCGCTGGCTTCGATGCAGATGGATGCAAAAATAGCACCATTACTTGCCTCTTGTAGTATGACAAAAAATTCCATATTGTCTTGCACATTATTACCACAAGGCCAGTACTACTTGCTTATAGTAACTGGTTTGACCGCTTTCTTGACTTAATCTTTGTGGTTCTTCTGGGTGGTACATTAACATTCTTATGTCATTCAGTAATCTCTTGCTGTGATAAAAGCACTTGGGTACTTTCGGCATTATCGGAGCGAATTAAGTGATGTGCCAACATTCGAACCAGCCAAGTTTAATTCTCTTGTGCTTCTAATTTCATTAAAACTTGTTGAAAACAGTCTTTGGATGTGCATGAAAAATACTTTCACGGAGCAGTATACACTATGTGCATAGTAAATGCGAAATTACATTTCCTTATAAGCTTCCTTTGCAAATTGCAAATGAGGTCATTTGTGTTATTTTTGCGGATAAATGAAGTGAATATTAACACTTCAACAAGAGTTACTGCCTTCTATTTGCAGTAGGCTATTTGTTTAACTTGACGCCTTCTGACGATACCATTTTACTGCCTGTTCCGTGTTAAGTTGCTCCGTGACATGCATTGCCGCAGTTGGCCCTTGTCGCTGAGCAGGAATTCTAATGGCTCTGACATAAGAAAGTATGTAACGGAAGTTTTCAATATTTGTTCTATACATGGTGTCATTGAGTCTACAATTTTTCCAGCCATGTCTATGATTAGCCGTGACTGGAAATCTGCCAGCTCTTGTCCTCATCTGACGTAACGCTGCGAAATGATGCAGCGAATAAAAGTATGAATTACGTAATTATCTAATAACTGAAGGTTGACCTACATCAATCCAGCAAACGAGCATTGCCGTAAGGGACAACGGTTGGGGAATGTTTGGTCCTCCCAGTGGGCGATGACTCAGTCATTAAAAAAGCGGCGACATCCATCCACAAACTAGAGATATGGCAGCAGTTGGTTCGAAACAGACCTGGTCAACTTTGAAAACGCGCCTTGGCTCAAAGGCCTTTTCATGGCTTCTATTTACATAACTTGGGAATTCCTCACTCGTTGGCGTTGTGCTGCTGATTAGCATATTTGGCTTTTTCTCTTTCAGACGTACTGCTACTGTGGTTCAGATTTCCGAAAACTTGTCTATATCATTTGCATTCGTGGGCTCTTGGTTTTGTAAAGTCTTCAATATTTCTCCTGTGATTTCGAGTATCTGATGTTACATTGTGCTCAGCTTAGAGACACAGGAGCCTCTGTCTGTGGCATTCTCTGAAACCAACTTATTCTTTTGGGAATTCTTCTTCAATTTTTATTTAATCTGATTACAAACGGTATAGTTTATGTCTCAGTTGTTTATTTCAGGATATTTAAGTCGTCTTCTACTTTGATATGCAGCTCTGATGCTTTTATCTTGCAATGACTTATGTTTCACAATCGGTCACTGCTTCTGTTAGGAGTTTCTCGTCTAAAAACGCCGCCTTGATATGATGTCTCGAAAACTATTTAGCTATCAGGCTATACTTTACTGAACTCGATTCGCACTTACTGGCGACACGAAATTCCCATCACTATTCCCAAGCAGGATATTGCTCGCTCTTGCACACTTTACCAATATAGTAGTTTTTTTCGTTATGCTACGCATTTGTTACAATTGGGTGCAATTTCATTTCCAATGGTTGTTAAACCGATGCTCATCATTGCAGGTTTCTGTACAATTTTATTGCTATAAAGATTGGACGCTATTTTTATCGTGATTCCATTCATTTCAGAAATACCAGTATCGGTCAGCCAAGTAGCCTGAGTTGTGGTTCTCAAACGTTTGCCTCCAGCACCCCTCATATGCCTCCTACAGCAATGGGTACCAAGCCAAGTGCGCTACCGAACACATCAGCCACATCCACTGCGCCCGTACGCGTCTCGCTTCCGCCACCACAGACCTCCACTTCCCAGGCGCCATCAACGGCACCTTCCCTTGCGTCCTACTCAGCTGTACCCTTCCCTGCCTCCACCGTACTTTCCCCCCTCCAGCCGCAATCATTGCAATCACCATTATCATCACCATCACAACCACCGCAACAGCAGCCACTCCAGCTTCAACCCACTGCATTTGTTGATGGAACCGGCGATGCAATGGATGATCGTCTCCACCATCGTGAAACTGTCCTCACACTCTACCCTTTTACTAGAAACCAGGTTCGTGTAAGCTTTCTTGCATGAGAAATCAACGCAACCGTGTGACGTATCTTCAAGATTTTTTTCTCCTTCTAGGTTGAAGAGCTCTCCTTTGCAGCTGATGAGGTGCTTGAGGTAATCGACAAGCCTGCTGATGATCCAGATTGGTGGCGTTGTCGAAACGCTGTTGGAAACATCGGTCTCGTTCCGCGCAACTACATTAGAGTTATTAAGAATCCCTTTCCAGCAGCCCTCCCGCCTGTTCGATATTCACCCTCGGCCAGCACTGTGGCGATGACAGGAACCGCACCTCAACAAGTTACTGCTAGTGGTGCTAGCGGTGAGGAAGTGCGTCTGGTCTTCGCTATGGCCTCACCAAATGCTTCTGAGTTTGCTCGCAAGCCCTGGTATTGGGGTGTCATCTCACGCTCCGAGTGCGAATCCATTCTCAACAATCTGGCCATCTCTGGCGAATTCATCATCAGGGACAGCGAATCTCATGTATGCGGTTGGTTTTCTTGTTCCATGTTTTCTCGTAATACTTTCTCATCTTTTAAAAGAGCGATGAGAGGACTATGTCTGATTTTTTCTGTATTTATTGTGCCTCTTTAATGTCCTTTTCCACTTACTTCCATATTCTTTATGGTCCGAAGCTAGTTAATTTCTTGTATTCTGTTTTACTTTCACCAATTTGTCGAATTTCGAAAATTCATATTTGCAAATGTGACTGGACTGTTCAGGCGCATTTTGATTTCCTTTGGTTTCCGTTGTACTGTGAGATTTGATGCTCATGGTTCACCTAAGTGATATTCATTTTCACAAAATTCATTTCTCATCTGCAATCTGCTGTTGTTTAAAAGGTACAAACAGCTTCGTTTGTGTCTCTTTCGTTCCACGAGGAATTTTTGAATTTGTTATACCCTACCAGAACCGAGTAACAGAGCCATAAACTTTCACTGGGTTTGAAATTTCACCGCCTTATTACAATTTGTTTGCTCGCCAGTTCGGTTTTTATTCAATAGGATCTTAAATCCAATTTTTATTTTCCTGGTAAGTTCCAATTCTGGCCCCAAATGAAATCCCCTTGATAGCGATACAGTGGAACAAGCAATGCCATGGTACCCGATTTGTGTTGAGCTTAAGTGTGCTTTGAACCGGGTGTCACTGTTTTTGTCTTATACCTGTTACTCCCTATTATTTACTCTGTTTCGACAATACTGTCTTTGTCATCCACATTCAGTGTTCATTACATTTAGACTTTCGGAAGCACGTTGCTCAGACCTGAGCCCTTCCTAATTTCGTCGTCCTTTCTCGTTGAATACACTCACTTAGCCTATTCCTTTTGCATTCATTTCCAGCTCATTTGGTGCTATAATCGCCGCAATAGGTTTATCATGGACGTAGTTTTGGTTTGTGCTTGGACCCTTCCGATCTCGTCTTGGCACAGGGTTGAACGAGGCCTGTAAATACACGCATCTCTGCTGGTGGCGCTGATACTGGGCGTGGGTGTGGCCGTGCACACAGCACGGGGATCGATCAACACCCCGACGACGGGTTGCGCGTGCACGCGGCTGTGACCGGTGTGTGCACTGCGCGGGGCTGCAGTGTGCGGAGAAGCAGTCACCAACGCCTCAGTGCTTACACTTCATTAGGCAAACGGCCTCCCTTAGTTGTCACGCCTCAATATCATCTTCTGAGACCTTAGCTTTGCCATCCAATCACTCTGCTGATGATTCAAAATGATCTGGTCTTTCGGTCCCACTAAGTAAAAAGTTAAATACACTATCGTTTCCTTGTATGCATCAAAAACCATCAACCAATAAAATCGTTAATTGGTTTTTACCGATCATCGCTACTTCTTGCACTGACACGGTTTTTCCAGTCCGGACTGGGTGCAGTGAACTGTCTACTGCATAATCTTGGCGATGATGTTGCATGCTTTGTTTCTGTCAGGCGGTTTTGGTCATCCAATTATTACAATTGGTTGAACTGCATATTACGTGGGCATCGAGCTCGGTTTTCGTCGTATGATAGTTTGTTGAGCAGTCTCCTTTATTTTACCGTTAGCATTAAAATTTCTACTGCTTTCAAGAATGCATATTTCACAATGCGCATTAATACCCTTGCAGAGTAACACCGTCATTTGCTTAAAAATATGAAACGAATGTTTTTACCATTAATTTCAAAAAATTTGTTCATTGAGTATCAATTCTCTTCAGACTCGTCATTTCGTCTTCAAATAAATTTTGCTTCAAAAGCAGGACATTTAAGTTTTTGGCTAAAAACTGGTTGTATGTCAAAACGGTTTCCGCTGCCGTTATTCGCAGTAAATACTTATTTGGTGTAGGCTGTCTTACTGGTCAAAATGGAGTTTATTTCATTCTGTTCAAACTTATGCAAAAAGGATTCTACGGACGCTCTATCATTCTATTTGTTGCTCTAAGGTAATGTCCTAGTTTACGACTGAAAGGTATTTTTTGCCATTTTCTTTTTTTGGGTTACAGCAGTATGTGCTATTGTCGTAGGTCCGATTCGCCTTTTAGCTGCCTCGTTTTATGGCTCACTGTGCCTGCTCTCGTCCTTATTCGCTATTAGACTCATTTTGATCACTTTCATGCAATAGTTGGGGTAATTTTCCGAAAATTTTTTTATTCGAACGTCAATTATTTGTTTACTGCAAGTGCACATTTCTTGTGTGACGATAGTGACTTTAATTAATTGCGTCGCTGCATATCCGTTGACTCACGTTTATATTCTTGTCGTTGATACCGGAAGGGATTTTCATCGAGGTATGCTGTGCTGCTCTGAGATCTCCCTGAAAACAAAAGACGACTTAGTATTTGGGTAGAATGCATAAACTTTTAATCTACAGACGAAATCGGAACAACTAGCGCAGGTGGAAGACTAGCTCACCCAACGAACTTCACCGAACTCATTATCAACACAGTGTCACACATGTAACGAATTTGTTATGCTACTCCCATATTACGAGATAAATACATTACTCAGCACTTATGACGTTCGAAAACATTTTCTTTTTACTCTATCTGGTCGGCTTTCGGTTATTCTGCATAGGACTTAAGATGCTATTTTGCCGTCATTGGATTTTTCTGCAAGTCGGGTTTTATAAATCTTCTTAAACGTCTTACTTTTTCAACTTCACTTAGTTCTTTTGAGTACGAATGTTGGTTTTTATTGCCGTTGTTTGTAATGATTTATAAAATCTCAAAAAATATGGCCGTTTGACACACTCGATCGGCTGTTGTTGGAGCAAGCCATAATAGACGAATCCCTGCGACACCACCCGTTGGCACCCTGATATCCTCTCTACATCCTCCTCTTCTTTGGAAAAATGTGGCCGTTATAAACCCCCATCATATCCCGCGCTTAATGACGACTTTGAATGAAATGAAGAATCCACATTCATCGCATGCATTCCCCTTTTTATTTGGCTAGAGGAACAGGAGTTAAAAATTTATTTGCTCACAGACAGTCTGCTTTTGTCATATCCTTAGTTTGTCAAAAACTTTTTTGATTCGAACTTATTTTTAAAAGGCTCTTGTGATCCTTACACTTAATACATCTACCTCGAACTGGTTAATTAGGCAAAGACAGTTTGCAAATTGCCATTTACTTGTCCAGTGGGTTTTATCACTTCACATCGCTAAGCTACCATTCTTTATGGCGTAACCTCACATTAACTTGGAGCGCTTTCGTAGGTAATTACTTGGTTTCATTGTTATTTTTAACAAAACTAACGCTGCTCTGGAAGTACTTATTTGTTTCAATCTCACTGATGGAATAACACGATTGAACCATTAAATTGTTAGTTAATCGAGCAAAATGAATGTTGTTGGACGATTAGCATCCGTTGGACATCTCTTTTTCCATTATTTACTAATTGAATAGCGTACCTACGTTCCCCAGCCATAGACCACGACCCCTTTAGGCTGGTTGCACCTGCTCTGCTTTAGTGAATGCCATGCCCTAAGTTACGCAAAGATTGCTGTTGCTCAAAGATGCCTTTAACGATTCTTACTTTTATCAACTTGAGGGCTTACGATATTTGGTACTCATAAGCAGAAGTCTTCAAGACGCGTGCCATTGCGCTTAGATCTCCTCCGGAAGTTCTCAGCACACGGATTCGGAGGATTTTAGTACTGCTCTTTTGCGGTCCGTGGATCAAGGGAGGCATAATTAACCGATCAAGCTCTGTGACAGGTTCATTGAGGACTACAAACGGTCTTTGCGTACATTGTCACTTCCGCGCTTTATCACCTTTTGGTGCTACCAATGCGACTTCATTCTCATTTCCGATTTACTGCAACCTTCTGCACAACTGTAGATACTTGAGGTCGTTTCCCTTCAATTGATAGTAGAGAATTGCTGTTTGTTTGAGATACGAAAGTTAGGTAGACGACACAGAAGATGTATTATATTTTATTGTAATAGTAAATTGGAGCAAACTTCAGGTTCTTTTATTCGCTAAACTTTATTTTCATTTGCACTACCCAGTCCTAAAGACACTCACTTAGAAGGATGAGGCCTTATTTTTAACACGTTAAATTTTCGTCGATATCCCAGCAACCCATTCAAATATTTTCCTGTGAAATGTCCAGTAATCTTTTTCATTATTTCAGCCAGGTGACTTGACAATTACAATGAATGCGGGAGCGAAGAATCGAAATTTCAAAGTGCATGTTAAGAACGGTGAATTTTATATCGGTCAGAAGGTCTTCTCAAGTGTGGACGCACTGATAGATAATTACCGTAGGCATCCAATCTACAAGAGTGACCTGGAAAAGCATTTCCTCACTCGGCCTTTTCAGCATCCTGATTGCGGTGCTTTTCTTCATAATCCCCTTCCACCGGCTTCCTCTCTTCAGGCTCCTATGCTAATGCAATCACGATAAGCTGACTCCCTTTACCCCTCAAGATTAGATGGTATCGGGCTGAAACTTGCTCTCATGTTTTCGTCCTATTACCACCATGTTTCTCCCCACTCTTTCTCTTGATCTAACGCAATTTTTGTTCGCATGTCCGTGCATATATACAGCCATACATGCATATCCACATGTGGAGATGTTTGGCAAAGCTCAGCTCCTTATCCTTACACATTGTCACAATCCTACAGCTCTTAGCAGTGCAAATAAGGGGGGCGAGAAAAAAACATGTCGGTGAGTGGGACCTCCATAATGCACTCACAGATCCACATCCGTTTACCAATTTTTTCATCCCATATACTTCCCATGGATCTGCTTGGAATCGTAAAGGGCTACTGTAGACATTTTGGTTATGAAATATCCCTTTTAGGGTGATGACGAGCTTGTTCTCTAGTGTTGTGGTAATTTTTAAAATTACAATGAATAGCTACGATTATCACGCTATGGAATGTTATCTAGAGGCTTTTAGTGTTAGAAGGGAAAGTAGTAACGTCAGCATGAATGATGATATATAACCGCTCTAGGTACTGTTGATCTGTCGACTTTAAAAGTATTTGTTTTAATAAAACAATTTGAACGGAGCCAGATAATACCATAATTGGTGTGCCAATTTATGAGTGTGCGCGCTGAATTCCATGCACACAGAAAACTGATCTGAATACATCTGCGACACGATAGGCTCCTGGCGCCCTAGCATGAGCGTACAGCGGAAAGGGTGAAATCGTCCAGCAAGGCGATCAGAACGGAATTGTACGAATGGCATAATTTCTCCCGTTAAGAGAGGTATTATGGTGTTAAGGTGTCGTGCCTTGCCACCACCTGGTTACTTCAGGCTCGGCAAAACGAACAGTTCTTCAGGAGTGAATAGACGATAGGTACCTAAGACAGTCAGGAGCCTTCGTCTCACAGAGTTTGCACCTTTGCGACATTCTTCACGGCGCCGAAAGAAATTCAGGTGGGTGCAATCGTCGTGTACTTACTGCCGCCCACTTGGAGAAACGATAGATCATGGTTGCTGATGTCTTCTTCAGGAAAGTAGCTGGAGTAGAACTCATGAAACTGCAAGGTGTCAAAATGGATGTCTCAGTTACCTACAAACTTGTGTTCTCAGCACGGATCACCCGTGATGCTTCACTGCAGTCAAAGTTCTGATTTCGAATGTCACATTTCTACTAAACATTAAAAAACCCGCGAAATAACTAAGAAACGTGGAAAACATAGGCACTGAACAGGTTAAATGAAAGAAAAGCATCCATATTGAACCACTAAATGGATGCCTAAAATGAAGATTGGAACTAAGGTTCGTACATTAACTGGGGATTTACCTCATACGGTACGGTCAGCCGCATGGAAGTGCCCTCCAGTGCCTTCCAACCAATCGCAGGAGTAGCAGTAAAGATGCATCATGGTTTGTATACGGTCTGATAGAATAGCCGAAATAAAATTTGAGCAACCTTGTAAGGATATATACACCGACTTACACACTCCGTTTGAGTATTAGAGCTCAGTTTCTCTATTGTTCAAAACTTCGTACTCAGCTAAAGGCGTCAACGAAATCAAAACGCAAGTGTAATACTTTGTTCATGCGAACACCTAACTTATGATGGTTACTTTAAGAGTCGTCAGACCTTTAGGCGCGTGGGTTGACCTTCGGACCAACCTCAATTTTAACCCATGTGTTCTCCCTAGAACGCATGTATTCAGCTCCGATCACTGTCTTCTACTGCCCTGTGGGAAGTCTCGAAATGCTATACCCAGTTTACAGGATTTGTCACGCGATGGCATGATCATATATGACCCATAATGATAGCATTGAGATAAACACTTGTAGCGTCCAAAGCTTCCCATAGGGTGGAAGAAGGCACAAGTGGGGTTGAATACATGTATTCTGAAGACGACAGGGCAAATGGAACCTGAGCGTGACCCAAAAGCCTGCCCAAGTGCACAGAGGCCAGACGAACTTTAAAGTAGCCGCCAAGCGTCAGGCAATCACATAAACACTGCATTATAACACTCATAACAGAAAATATATTATATAAGGTAAAGTGGGCATTTTGGTGAGACACGGATGCACAAATCGCAAATGTCATTTATAACGACTCTTATTTTTAGAAAAGGGAGAAATTGACTATTACCTATGTAATTAGGTGCATATGTGTTAGAGTACTTAGACTGATCGTTTCTACACCTAACAATCTAGCTACAATGTTACGAGGGTCACTACAAAAACTACGCCAGCAACCAGGAGTAATGTACCACTTCTACATTGAATGGCCTTGCAAGGCACACACCTTCGATCAAGTACTTATAGTGCTCCAGTTTGACAAATGCCATGAGCATTAAATTTTTTATTTTATAGCATGAAAAAGTGTCCCCTTTGTTCATATAACTCGTTTAACTTTATTGGTGTAGGTCGGCGTTCGTTTGGATACGAATTAAGTGGGGTTGTTCTGAGGCATGTCGTTTTCGGATCTTTTGACTGGGCAGTCGGTTTTGTCATCGTCTCAGAAGACTATTCTCATGATAAAATTTTTGCATTTCTTCCTTTACAATACCGGGCAATTTCCGGACTTCAGACTACTTAGCAACAAGGACGATATCAACAGTAACAACACTTTCGTAAGTTTATTTTATCCTGCGTTATTTCTAAGCCTTTAATACCTGTTAGGAAGTTGCAGTTGTCTATTCAGTCTGTATCGTTGCTTGAAAAAGAGCTGAGAAGTCTTTCACAATTTCCTATAGAGCAATTCCTTTTTATACTGGGCCCAAATGTTCAGAAGCCACTCCGTATGGTTTTGTTGAACTTCCGCAATTGTGATTTGACACCTGGAGACAACACTGGATCCAACAAGGAACAAAAGTTTCCCGTTTTCTTCAGAGGTCTGATGGGGAACCCTTATTTTAATGTCATTTTTGAGCCCACCTCACCCACACGACTCCATGTGTACTTCAAGACTAGTAGACATTTTCGTTGTGATGATTTTCTCCCAAAGTTGACCTTTAATCCACCCATTGGGTCCATTCACGTTTTGAACGTGCTTTCGGCAGAAGATACGATGGAGCTCTACCCTGACAGTTCAGAGGTCCCAACTGAAGAAATTGGCGCGCGTGTGGAGGAACTGCTCCAAACTGACAAGGAAATGATATGGTTCTCGTGCTCCAAAGTCATTACTGGATGTTGAGGTTGGGATATATTTCTTGTTTCTGCCGAGAAGTAAACATTTGTTGTTCACTCGATTTTAGACTTGTCTGTCTGTAGATATTTACATATATGCGCATGTATGCGCATGCGTTATAGTGTGTAACTAAATGGTCCCACTTCTCCAGCGTACTGTCTTGGATTGTTGGGGTCTTTTATAAAGCTCATTAGTTCACTGCCTCGAAATTGTTTTTATTTTGAATGATAACAATCAAGTAAGGGTTAATAATTTAACATCCCTTAGTGTTCATATTTCTCGATTAGCCTCCTTTTGGTACCCCTCTGCGACAGCCCGTTTCAATGTGTCTTCATCCATTATCTTCTGTAATCATTTCAAGTAATTGTTTAAGTATAGACAGTTAAATTTGGCCGCGGCGAGTGGTGACGTGATGACCTGTATATGAGTTGTGTAAACCTGTGCGTACATTTATTTCTTATTAGAGAATTCGCTAATGTTAAGCATAACAAAACAAGGTCTTGAGTACGGTGTCCAAATTTGTCCGCAGCAAGTCTAGGCAATCTGCATGGGAAATTTACCTGTTGTTGGCTAGTCAAGAATAACTGTATGCTTTCTGATCTCCCTATTTTGGAGAGATAATGGTGTCGTGTTGACAGTACAATTGCAGTTGACATTTCATTTTTGCCAGCCAGCTCCAGAGCTCTAAATTGAAAGGATAATCCAAAATTACTGAATGGATAACATTAGTGCTCACCTTTCCCACTTGAATTGTGCAAGATTGATCATCACTGCGTTGAAGTGAAGGCCTGCCTGTAGAAGCGTCCGTTCGGCCTCCTTAGGTTGTCCTTAGTGCCACGTGGGTAAATTGATGAGATGGGCTTTCAATGCTTACCTGCAAGAAGCAGTGTCTGCGCACTTTGAGCCTCTTTCGAGGGCATTTCTCGTATGCTTTTTATGTGTTCAACTTTGTCTGGCTAAGTAAGGAGAATAGTAACCTGGAATGGGTAGTACCTTGTTAAGAGCCGCATAAGCGTCCTCAGCAAGGTCTAGTCTTCGCGTTACCATAGCTAAGCCGGCGAGACAGGCCCACAACAAAGGATCCTTCGAAATAAGCAGAATGATTTATAACAAACCTTTGCAATGCGGCAAAGCTGAGTACCTTGAGTCCACTTGTTTTTTGAAGCGAGAGCGTAAATCAAAGTCGGGTAGGGTGAGATGGAAAAAGTGACCATAGTACCTTCTGGTCGACGAATAGTCACTTGCTTATCGTTGAAACCATTAAGTGTACAGTATTTCTCACAACCTTCCCTGCAAAAATAGCGTGAGAAGTTGTTTCGCAGTTTTCAGATTGCAGGATTTACAAACGGCCGTGTTCAAAGCTTTATTGACTACTAACTTCAAGGTGAATAGGGTCGTCGAGGGAGTAAGTTGCCCTCCCAACGTAGGCATTGAGGCCTGACACTGCGTACGGTGGCTCAAAGTCAAGGGGAATTCCTGCATTCGTTATTAAGAATCAGCACCACAATCTAACATTCTTCCCAATCGCTCTACTTACACCACATTCTTCTCCTCTACAGTAAGATCGAGGAGCTCTTTGTCAACGAAGGAGACTGCCGGGTTGTACCAAATTATGAGTTTTCCGTGCTTGATTGCGGCGAGGAAGTTTTGTGTCTCAGACCACATGAATGTTGAGACCATGCTCCCTGCAGTAAGGATAGAGCCCGTGATTTTATGCGCAAAGGATGATACAACATTTGGGAAATCGACTCACCTAATTTAACCACTGCTCTGCTGCGCCCATAAATGCGTACTTGGTAGATGAAAAGATCCTTGTTCCTATCGAGGACAGCAAGGCGTCTTTCAGCCACAGATTCCTTTTGGTTCAATCCCAGAGCCGTGACATCAGCCTGCACGAAGATGGCTTAAAGCACTTCGATGTCTGATTCTTTTCCAACTATGGTTTCCCAGTGTTTAGTAAGACCTTTGGTTTTTATCAAACGCATTCAACAAAAAGTGGATTCCGTTGCCACTTATTTCTATGCTTATGCAGCATAATTGCCTTTTTTTCACGGGCGAATAGAAGTCAAAGAGGACAAACTCAGCTGAATCTCTCGCTTTTAGTCATTGCAAAGGCTAAGCAACACACAAGTTGCATGTGGAGATAACAGAATGTGACTTACTGCATGGCATATGGGCTTACTGTCCCCAACCGACTTTCCGGAATTCACATCGAATAGATGTATTGCTGCAGAGATTTGTTGAAATTTCAATGTTCATGGAATGAAAAAGAAATGATTTGCAGATTATATGATGAAATTATTTAACAATTCGAACGTAACTCGCCTTTTTCATCTTCCAAGTCCTTTGCGGCGATTGTATCGCCGCTTAGTACAATGCATCCGGGATAGACCAGGTTAGTTCTCACAGAAATGTTTTTCACTGAGGAAACAAGCCGTCCATTATAGCTATAGATGATTAAGGTGCCCCAGTCGACCAACATGAAAACGCTAAAAAAGCAAGACATAGGTCATTTTCGCATGTTGATGCCGTTGATTGCTTGCCTTTTCTAACGCAGTGGAAAATAATCAAATAACTCCATATGCATTTTCAAACTATGCAAAACTCACTTTATTAAATGCTTTTAAGACTAAAATTTTCGAGGTGTTTGCGTTGAAGATTCAACCCTGGATGGTTCATTGTTATACTTTTGGCAAGGTTTATTCATCTTACCAAAGGTCAAGTATTTGAACCAAGAAGACCAAATGCGATGGTCGGATGCTCTCATATACGTGGGAAATATTGCTATTAGTCCATTATACGTATTTTAAAGATTGTCTTCTGCTTTAGCAACAACATCCCCTATGATTAGCATTTACCATATAAACTACTAATTAGTCCAGCTTGAAAGGCATTATTTTTCCTGGTGTTAGCTTAAAGAATGTTAACTTACTCTTGCGATTGAACGATTAGCGAAATAATAGCACCCTTCAAATCCACAATCACGGGAGTGTTGAAATTTTTCACACTAATGAACAAAGATTCGAATTCTTCAGTAAAAATAAGAACAGAAGTTGGTTTACGCCTTTGCTACAAGACAGTATTCTTACTCTAGGTGGACATAAGAAAACCAGCTGTAGGATGAGTTGGGAATATGTCAGTCTTAGATTAAAGGGCTTTTTTAAAGCTAATTAGGTTTATTAGCTTCCAACAAATGGATTCCAGTGTCATAGAACTTACCTGTAAATGTAACAGTGACTTATGGTTAGTGCGATCAACTGACCATAGGCCAGGGACAAGTTGAGAATCGGCTGACAGAGCTGCAGACTTTCCGCGGATTCGTCACAGACTTTTGTAACCGCGATTGAGCTAGTGTTTGTAAGCACTACCTCATATTCACCCCACTCAAGACTGCGGCCAACGGGGTGTGCAAAAATCACGCTGCCATTGGCGCTCGCAGCAGCTAAGCTTGCACCGTCCGGAGACCAGACCAAGTCAAGAATGCTTCCCGTTCCTGGCTTTTGAATGTTATGCGACCACTGTGTAGTCACCGGAGACAGAAAAAAAGCTATTTACCATCGCATTTACAAAAAAAGATCACATAAATGTTACCTATGTCGTTTTGATTTAAACAGAGTGATGAGAGGGTGCTTCAAATCGTAACTGAAAATAGTCATTCATCAACTGACGCCAAAATGAGCCAAGTTTAAACATAGTAAATGGCTTCAATTTCCAAGGCTTGAAAACAAGGTTGGGTTCTTTAAACTTACGAACATCGTTTTATTGAAATGGAACTAACGACGGCTAAATTACTTACTCCAAGTTTATCACATAACTGAAGAAAGTTGTAACTGCCAATAACGAACTGGTCCCCTGTTGGTTTCCACGCCAATGCGCTGATAGGATACTCATGCATTTGGCTAGAGAAAAGCAGACGACCAAAACTATCCCACACTTTATATCTGCAATCCTCACCGCCAGATATGAGCAGATCATTGATTGGATTCCAATCAACTTTCAAGATAAGCCCATCATGAGCCATCCACTAAATCAAATTGGTAAAGTGCTAAACAAGAGATAAAAGCAGTGCAATCACGTTTGCTGAATTAACATACTGTTAGAAATGCTGAGTTCGATCGAACTGTTCTAATTGTCAGTTGTTTCCCGGAGGTATGGACGAGTTGCTCTGACTTGGGCCCCCAAGCCAATGCATAAACAGAGAGGTCTAAGGGATTTCGCAATTAGTGCAGCTCTAACCTCAAGCTTACTCGTTTGAACTAATGTTAAACGAAGCATACCGCTGCGAGACCAGACCTTTACTTGCCCGTCTTCACCACCTACGGAGTAATCACAGAGAAGTAGCTTACAGGTTGCAAAAGAGTCCCCATTATAACTCCATCTAAGACCTAAAACAGCACCCCGATGCGCCTCAACACTTTTTTCGACTCGACCGCTTCTATTGACCAGGTGAAAGCACCCTGCAATCCAATATTATAGGGCTGTATTTTTATCAAAATCAAACCATCAGTTGCTGAAACCGCAAATATATTGATAGCAGCACTTTTATTCAAGGCATTCGCAGCCATCCTGAGTGGGCATGCTGCGATAGACAAAGGAAAGAGGCCTTCTGGAAGATTGAGCAAAGTGGAGTGCTGATTCTTACTAAGACACCATATGCTCATTTCATGATCATCACCAGCTGATAAAACCTCATCATTTGAGATCCAAGTAACACAAGTCGCTGTGGATTTATGTATCAAAAAATGGTTAAGGAGACATTAACACTAATTATATTTAGATTCTCAAGCTTACATGATTCGTGATAATGGAAAGGGCAAAACAGGCCAGTTCGGAAAGGAATATTTCAAACTAAACATAAAATATAAAAGAAAAAATGTGATAAAAACGATAAAAAGCAACTAGCAAAATGTGCGAAAAATTGAACTTGAAGCTTCTTTGCTGAAATACAGAGCGGAACATAATCCGGATCATTACATGTCACAGATCCAATCCTAAGGCTAATGTAAAAAAATTTTAAAAAAGTAAAAGAAACCAATTATAAAATGTAGCCCTTGAGCCTAATCACTTATACAAACTTTAGAAAGCCTACGATTTTGCGTGCAGTTCATGAAAGAGGGAACAAAAAAATAGGCGCCAAAATTACAAAGCTTTAGCAGACTCATTTCCACAAATCCTAAAACATACACATAATTAATGAATGCATAAAGGTGAAGGAAGTCCCAATTCTTACCATTTAAAAAATAGGTAACAGTGCTATATGAGTGCAAACAAAAAAATTCAGCGCCCTACTCATGATTATACTGAAAAAATTACAATCAATTGCTTTTTACATAATCTATTCATAATCTAAAAAACGGACAGATAAGAACCAAGAAAGGAGTCAATAAAGGCGCTATCATAGTAACCAAAATACTGCGCGCTAATTTGTGCAACTAATGGCAAAAAACTTCACTACAAAGACCACAACAAACGCCAATGTTTAAGAAAAAAGAAAAAACCAAGGCCTGCCAAAAGGATATGGTGAAATTGTCGAGGATCTAAGTCAAGCCTCATTATCAAATCCCCACTGTTGAACCGATTAATAGTTGTCAAAAGTCGTTGGTGAATGCAAACAAAAACACCTTTTAAAAAATTCTAGCATTTTATGCGTTTTATTTAGCTTTTTTGTCCTTGATTAATAAGCACTATTAAAGACTTTTTTATAGGAGAAAAAGGTATAAATTGGAGCTAAAACGAGTGTTAAAGGGTGAACAGAGAAACCAGAACAGAGCTTAGATCGAAGGCCTGCACACGTGACCAAATGACAGACCAGTCTTGCAGTAACAGCCATACATTAGCTGTTCACATGTGTAATGCATTGCTTATGTGACTACCTGACGTTCATCGGTCACTTTAGAATTTGTCTCAGCACTGTACGCGTGGGTTGGCGTTCGGGACACTCTCAGGCACAATTTGAAATGCCGCTTCCGAATACATATATTCAACCTCACTTATACCTTCTCCCACCGTATGGAAAGCCTTGGAACTCTACACTGGTGGCAGCGGAAAGCGAAATCGGCATTTATTAACGATATTTAGGTATAAGGTGCTTTTAATGTACTGCTGCTGTATCCAAGGGGGATCTCTCAGCTGCTTTTTCCTCGTTGGTTGTTTGCTATAAGTGACATAGTGTCCGAAAAACCTATCTTTTGAACACTGTAAAGCTGAAGAAAACTCCGGATCTATTTGACATTGTAAAGGTTAATGCAGGAGGTCTG